CCTTCCTTTTAAAGGCCTATTTAAACCCTAAAAGTCTAAAGCTTTCAAGGTTGAACCACCCTTGTTTTTTTTTTCTAAAGGGTTAGGGGTGCAAGGGATGTTCAAACTTGACAGCTTTAAGACTTTAAGGTTTAGATAGGACTCTTAGAGGCAGGCGGGGCGATTGGTGAGCCAGCCAATCAGTGAGCGGTGGGTGGGGCAAGTGTGGTGTGGACGGGCAGGGGAGGAAGCTGGAACCGGTTCCAAATGGCACGGTAGATTTGTAAAACCTCTTCTATAGAAGAGGCTAGAACTGGCAGGAACCCACCCCTGCTCTGCCTGTACATATCGCAAAGCTCCTAGGAAGGCTTTGGGCACCCATCCTTCTCCTTCTCCCAAAATAATGAAGTACATGAACAAATTTGAACAAATTGGTGAATTAGACTTGAATTGGACTTGAAACTCTAACTGTGAATTGTAATTCAAGCTTAAAGAAAGTTTTTTTAAAAAATAGGAGTTATGGTTACTGCTTTTCAAATTCACATGTCATAGTCATCGGATTTATTGTTGGAGATGCCTAGTACCTATAGAAAAAACAACCATGATAGATATGAGCTGTTGTTCTGGGGAACATAGAGGAAGAAGGAATATTATGTTTGCTATCTTGAGTTATTTGAAAAAAATAATAAAGGTGATAAGAATCACATAAATAATATATAAAATAGTATCCATATAATCCAAAACGCTTTTGAGTTGTAATAATTTTTATGAATGTAAAAGGATCCGAAAATCAAAATATTTGAGAACTACTAATCCAAAGGGTAAGATTTTTTAAAATTATTTTTAGTTGAAAACTTAAAATTATTTTCATTTAATAATTCAAAAATAAAATATCTTAATATGAGAGAAGTGAAAATGATGCATTCACAGTTACAAAAAGCGGGTTTTACATCCCACTTTTACATTTAATGAGTTCCACCATTTTATTCTCCTCAAGGAAAAAAAAGAATGCTATTTTTTAATAGCTCATCAGTTAAATTAAGGCTGTTCTATATTGAATATGGATGATGCAGATTTCCAGTTGATTTATTTCTATGAGACCTTTAAAAAAATCATATATTGTTGTATAATCCAGATTTTTTAAAATGAATATATAAAAAAATTAAAAACACGATACTCATATGCTTGATTTGTAGGAAGAAACATTATGGTTTAAGTTACCTAGAAAACATATACTTTGATCTCAGAAACTTTTTCCTTATTAAAAAAGAAAGTTAATATATAAAAAACACATTTCCTATTTCTAAAAATGTTGTCTGCCATCTTTCCTATATCTTATCTATATCTCCCCCATAAAATTATCAAATAGTATCTTTTTTTTAATAATATTTATTCAAGAAAAGTTAAAATACAAAATACCAATACTTTGGTGTTTTATTGTAAAAAAAAAAGAAATTACCAATTATTATCACATGTTGTCAAGGAACCTGATCAGTTTGTATTATTTCAATTTAAGTCAGAAACTAGAAAGAAATTAATAAAAAATAAGCAGTTTTCTAGATTTTTGTTTCACATATTAGCCTATTTGTCCACAATGCAAATACCTTGAACCCTATGAGAATAAACTTCTGACTATCACAATCTTCTCTCCTACTAATCAATCAAAAGCAATTATATAACAGTTAAATTACATGTAGAAAGAAAGGTTTTACCCTAATCCACGAATCATAAGCTTCTCTTCTTCCTTGCCCATCCTAACACTGAGGAGAGAACGGATCTGGCCAAGAGATGCAAGCAAGTTGATGGTATCTTCCACTGATACACCATTTATTGTGTATGTCTTGGGCAAGGCTCGAACCAGGCCACCAACCCCATCATATTGGCGATGTAGCAAAACAAACATGGCCCTCACCAACTCTGGGTCTTCTATTACAGATTCTTGAGCCCAACGTACCATAGTTTCTGATATCAGCTGTTGGAGAGTTGCTAGATGTAGAAAGCATTAAGACAAACATACAACAAGACCTTTTTTTCACCTTTATTAATAATCATCACATGCTATGCCAATTTGGATTAGAAATTCAGAACGATGAATTTCTGAAAAAAGCAAATCACCAAATAATACATAATCAAATTAGAAATTATATGTGTAAAAAGCCAATTTGAGGAAAAGAAACAGTTCATTCACTAGTTATTGGGCTAGAAAAATCGCAATTATTTTTAAAGAACCACAATAAAATAAGTTCTTTAAAATAAAGTTACAAACGGAAGATAATTGTTTAACCAATTAAATTTATAAAGCAAGTGAATTAAAGACAATATAATAATCTATCCAATAATAGTGAGAAAAGGGGAAAGAAGCTGCTATCATGCAATGACCATCATTCCTATGATTTGTGTTCCAGAATGCAAATTAAATGGTATAAATGTGCAAGATTTAGTCTTGATGGGCTATGGGTCACATTGCAGAAGAGAATTGCCCTAACTATGAAACTTCCAAAAAGAAAGAAGCAAATAATTTAGTGTAAGTAAATGCCTCCACGCATCATTTCATTGCCTACCAAAGACCGTACACCTCCCACAAATACACATGAATGTATCCTTGCTAATGGAAAATTATTCATTTGCTCAGTATTTTGTTAGCCTATCTGAATTCTACTTGTTTTGCATCCCATTAGTTCAACAAGGATTTGCCAGAAGATATAACTTCTTAGTCAGCACTTTTTGAATGTAGTATTATGTTATAGAACATGCAATTATTTCAGAATACTATAAATTAAAGTACTGAATTTATAGACATTTATTCTGAAATAGATTATGATATCAGAATGAGAGAATTATTTATGCTTACTTAGATTCAGGTAACAACTTAAACCTTATTTTACTTTACTTACATGGTTTCTTGTTATCATCAACTAGCTTCTCTGCTTGTTTCTTTTTCAAGTGTGTGAGTCTTTCTACAAGATATAGCAGGCGACCTTTAATAGTTAAATCACTGTTTCCATCTAGAATTCCATCTTCATCTAGCTGAATTCCTAGACATAAATATCAAATATTTATTACAGCATTAAAACAACTAAACAATATATCTGTACTCATTTCCAAGACTAGCTTCAGAACTTTGAGAGCAGTTAGTAGAGTGCTTCATTATTTGAAATCATGCCTGGCCATAATTTTAGAGTATTCCAGAAGTCAAACTTTTAATTAGGGAAATAAAATAAATGTTGATTCCAATAAAGCATTAAGAGATTTCAATACGGTTTCCCTAATTTGATTGATATTTTCAAGTACATCATTTATTGATGTATACATTCACATAACTTGTCCTTTTCGGCATTGCAAAAGAGCATCCTAGTAACCCAGGGACATCAGATGTGTGTTACATTCTGCTACATTTCAATCTCAGAACCTAGTTCTGAAAAAAATATAGAAAGCAATTTAATGGTAGTTGGCCAAGTCCTGCCAGTTTTATCTTATAGGCTCAATATGCTTGCCCTAAAGCTAGATCAAGGCAGCAGTTGTTATATGAGATAGCAGGTTCTTGAAGACAATATGGATACTGCAGTTCTAAAACTGTATTCAATGCAATTTTAAGTGCATTTGTATTAGAATTACATTTCACGCTACCATATTCTGTTGAATAAAACTATCTGTATTTTATTTTCTTTAATATTTGGAGCAGGGAAAAATATTCAGAGTTCAGGTTTACCACAATGTGCCATCAGATCTTCATGAAAATCCAAAAGATGATCCCTTATTTCTTCAGGACAAGGACAATCATTTTTATCATCCTTAAAATTCAGCAGCATGTTGATCTTTAAAAGCAAATATATTTGAAGTAATACGTAAGAGGTGGTATGCAGGTACAATAAAACATTTACTATAATATTACTAGATTCAAGGCATGCTTTAAAACTCCCCATGAAAGGAAAGGATGAAAAGAAGTGCATATATTTTGTTCATTCTAATGACTTATCATTATATTCACTTTGTATAGCTCAGTAATTCAGTTCCTTTAAAATATATTGAAAGAAATGATGTAGCCACATCTTTGTCTCTTGGCTTGTATATGACATTATCAATGTCATCAAGGATTCCTTTTAGTGCTGGTTAGAAATGGTTTAAATGATGTTCAGGATTTTAAAACTTAAATTAAAAATTGGTATTCTAATTTGTCGCTGTGTAGTTACATAATAATTTTAATTTATTCTTTCACAAATGTGAGCAAAGCTCACAAATAAAATCTCTTGGCACATACATGATGCTGCATTTTACCAATGGTAACTTCTGTGCATCAGGAAGTTTAAAAGAGAGCAAAATAAGGAACACAAAGAGCAACTTTCTAATAGATGTAGTAGAATTTTCCTATTCTTCTTCTCTTAGTACAAGCTCCATGACCCATAACCTGTGCTAAAATATCCCCATTCATGGCAAAATAGAAGACATCCTTAGGGGAAGGACTGGAGGGAAGATGTCAAAAGTGTCTGTCTCACTCTTTAGAATCAAATTCTAACAACTTGTTTATACAACAGTTGTAATGAATATCCAAGGCACTTTCATATTGCCTGAAGATACATACTTGAAAGACAGAATACAGGGTCAACTGAACTCCACATACAAAAGTAGAGAAGAAACTACAGGTAGTCTACAATTCAAAATTACTATGCTGTTGAAAAAGTAATTTACAACCATTGGTTGTAAGTGATCAATATTCAGGTGCTTTGAAAACAATGGGCATTTAAACTGTCATAATGTCCCATGCTTATGTGATCACCATTTATGCATTTGTTATAAACAACCAGAGTCAATGAAAAAGCCGGCAGTAAAATTGCATGTGAAGTCTCATTTAACAATCATGGATAATTTGCTTAATAACCAGGGCAGAAAGTGGTTAAGTTCATTATGATCATGTGATATCTCATTTAACAGTCACTTCACTTAATGATAAAATTTGCCAAGCCCAATTGTGGTAATTAAGTGAGGATTACCTGCATTTATAAACCTTTTCCACTGAAAAGTTAGAAGTATTCCAATTAGAGATGACTAAAATATGTGCATATAAAAATGATTACATCAGAATTCTACAAAGCTGATCTCACTAAAAGACAACTGCTTAATGTAGGAGTGTGTGTGTCCCCATACAGAATATTTTAATCTATATTTAGTCATAAACAGTTGAATTGATGTCAGGCCTGATCCATATTTTTCACTTTATCAAGAGTGACTGCTAAAACACAATTGCTAAATGTTATGGAAATCAGAATTCTCATTCGCCAAGGCTGTTTGGCTTTTATTTATAATCTCTGGTCCTGGAAAATTATTACCTTGTACATATTTTCTTTAAACTGAACAAACCCCTAATATAAAAATATTTATTAGGTTATTAACCTGCTCCTGTGGTGGGGATCGAAATTCTTTCGTTTTCTTGGCTGTCAGAGCTGCTGACATATTTAAAGCCTGCATAACTTCATTATATCGGAAACGCTGATTTTCTTGAAGTTTTGCTACAAAATCATCTGAAAATGCTACAATGGCTTCTATTCTATGGCGTATCTGGAAGTCACATAGATATTGGAGTAAATGGCACATCTGAAATAGAATTAATAAAACAAAACAAAATAAATGGGGTAACATAGTTTTAAAACTATAATTTCAGATATGGGGTATTTCTTTTATTTCACTTGAGTCATTTTTTTAAATACAACCTACGTCCATTGTTATCTATTTCTATTTTTTAAACCTTTCATTGTCTCCATTTCAAAATATTGAAAAATTTTCTCCCCTTATCTTTCCCTCAGCTTAAAGTTTTAATTTCATTTTGACCACATTATTCTGATTAATGTATATTTATTGCTTATTGACAGCTTTACCGTCAATATTCTTCTTTTTCTCAACATTCTTCTCAGTATGCATATGTTGTAAATATTCTTTTCTATTTGTATTCACTTTTGTCTATGTCCAGAACGTTTTCTTAAACTGCCAACCCAAATTTTTCTTTTTTTATGTTTGTGCATATATGGGCACATAAATTTTTCTCAGGTAGAAAAATAATCCACAAAATATACAATTACCTATGCATTCTTTCATGATTACCTGTAATTTGACAGGTTCAGGAAGCTTCATTTGAAGAAGTCCTTCTTCTGGAACTTTCTCTCTTCTGATTTCATCCACACCTGTCTCTAAATTTAGACTTTCTTTAACTAGTTCCTTCACTAATATTCGGGTTTCATCTTCATGGCCGTTATCTTCTTTAAACACACTGGGCTCAATGAGCTGCAAGATATGCTTCAGATCTTTATGGTGGAAGACTCCCATTATAAGAAGAGTATAAAAAAGCTTGATCAAAGGAACAAACAGAAATTCTGTAGTACCACCTACTGGATCTCTGACATGAAGGCTACCCTCCTGAACTGCTTCTGTCAACATCTCTATGGTTTTAGACTTTAAAATTTCTAGAGGAAATTCAGGACTATATTGGTAGCACTCACTATTAATTCTTACAAAACTGAGAGAAGAAAACTGTATTCTGGGTCGTAAAGATGTACTAAGCCCGATACCTGGTAGGCCATGCTTTTTGTGTTCATCAGGAAACAAAGTAATGCTTTTAGTCTCGTCTGTCATTGGGACAATGAATTCATTGTTCATCATCAACCTTGCAGTGGCATAGCTATTAAGGTGAATATCAATGAGAAGATCATAATAGCCCACACGTAAGAAGCCTGGCATGTATTTGTTCTCAATTGCATAGAGAAGCTGAGATTCATCAACATGGCTACACATAGCATGTGCAACTCTGTTATTCCCAAGAGCACACACTGCTGAGTATAGTCTGAGAGTATGATAATGAAACTTTAGCAGTTCTTCTTGTTCTGACAGTTCTAAAATATCTATAGACCTGCAATAAAAAAGAAGAAGTAAAATAATTAAAAATACCAGATTTGAGGGGTTTGGGGTGTGGAATGTGCTTTTACATCCATACAATCAGTTTTCTAAGAACAAGTTCACAATTATTATCTTACTAAGTCAGTAAATTGATAAGGCTTAAAATTTAGAATACATTTACATATGCAAACATGGAAACAAGTTTGGTTAGACTTTAACCAAAATAGTTTTTTCAGTGACTAAGTACAACTCTTTATTGAGTAATTAAAATTTTTCACCAAGAATTTAGTTTCTTTCTTACTCTTTGATGTATTCAATAACTATAGCTAACAATAGTTGGATAATATTTATCCTTTGGAATTAAAAACACAGTCTTGCATTGGGAATAACCATGACTAATAGATGACATCTTTTGCAAAGAAAGACTTAAAGGTATTTCTTATGATTGATGAACATTAGTTGAGGGAAGCAAAAATAGATTCTGCTGTTAGAAAATTATGGGAAGGCGCCTAGAAATTAGCCGGTCATTAGTTCATGGCCTTAACCATGAAAGACAGTTGAGTGAACTCTGAATCAGTCATTCTCTCTCAGTCCAACTTATCTCATAGAATAGGTTATTTTGTGCAGAAATAGGAGGAAGAACAGAGGTGCGGTTCGGACCAGTTCACCAGAACCGATAGTGTAAATCGTGGATGGCCCCTCCATTCCATCCCGGTCCTATGGAATCACATTAGGCTCCTTTTTCATGAAAAGTACATGCGCGTAAGGTACGCGTGCTCACATTTGCGAACCGGTAGGGAAGGTAAGCGAATACCACCCCTGAGAAAGAAGTTCTGTTGGATATTTTCACTGCCTTGAGTGAAAACCTGGCTTTGCCGGCAGGCCTGGGGGTGATGAGTTCCCTCCCCTCTCGACATGTATGGTTGTGCAACTGTTGTTTACTTTTATTATTTGTATTTTGTTTTTATGTTCCCCTTTTCCCCCTTGAATTGTTCGCCGCCCTGAGTCCTCCCGGAGAAGGGCGGCATACAAATAATAAAATTCTATTCTATTCTATTCTATTTGTAAAAATAATGAAGGTGGGATACATAATAAAATAATAAAAATTAAAAGAATAAAAATTAAAAGAATAAAATATTTAAAAAATAAAGTAGTAAAATAAAATAAAATACAGGTGATAAATGGTGTAAACTAGATTTACCTAGTTTCAATTTTCCTTTCCTATTGTCCTTCTTCCCTTTGCATATTTGATAGGATTTTATGAATATATACTAACATATTCTTTTTTTCACATATATAAATTACCATTCACTTAAGGTCAACATCTTATTTCATTTCATCTGTAAATGCAACCAAGGAATACCTGTTTTCCTCTGGAATGTGAAGGGACATGAACTGCAAAGACTCCAGGCACTGTATTGACCAGCCCTGCCGTTCATTGATCCGTGATATATCAATTTTCAGAAACTGATTTGGCACTCTGCTCCAAAGAACATGTGTCAGAAACTGAACATGGAGACGGGGTGGGCATTGAGGAAGTGGATTTTTGTGCTCACTTTTGAATAAGCCAGCTGACAATGGCATTACGTTCTGAAAACAGAGCAAAACAATAAATGCAGTAAAACAGTACTGCAGTAAATGCAGTAAACTGGAAAAAAAATAAACCCAAACACACACACACACACACACACACACACACACACACACGAAATGGTCAGGATTCATACATTGGGAGAACAGGTTACTTACCTGTAACTGTGCTTTAATTGTCATCTTATGCACTCATACATAAAGATCATTCTGTGAAAATGTAACAAATATAACAAACATTCTAGCGGATGAGATGGAAGGGGGAAGAATGCACGAAAAATAGATTGACTGATGTAACTGTCCAAAGTTACTTTTGACTGAAATTTGACTATAATCGCTCTGACAGTATGAAAATATGGTGATCTATGCAAACAGAACATGTTCTCCTAGTCAATGTGATTTTAAAAGTTCATTATCCATGGATGCTAGTGATTCAAAAAGCTGAAGAAGCTTCTTGGATGAGAAGCAAAACGTCTTCAAAGAAAAACAAGAAAATCAAGTTGCCTCTTGAAAAAGCACCTTTGGGACAACAATGACTTAGATGACTGAGAATCTCCATAGACAGGAACACCATGGTTTCCTAGGGAGGAGGCAGTACATTCTGAGACAAAAGCCCAAAATAAGAAATTGTGACCAAGGAGGCCAAACTTGAATGGGGGAGGGTGAAATAGGTGAAATAGGTTCCGGGAAACCACATTCTAAAATCTCTCAGGGTATATCTATTATACCCTGAGAGGTTACAACAGGGATCCTCAAACTACAGCCCGCAGGCCATATGTGGCCTGCTGAAGCCATTAATCTGGCCCACACAGGACCATGAGGATGCCCTGCCCACATCGCCCCACCAATCCGCCAGCCCCCACCCACCTTCTGGAGACCAAGGAGGCCAAAAACAGGATGCGTTTGAGGTCTCAGAAGGCCAGTAGTGGGCCCGGTTTTGTGTGGCAGAATGGTACTAGAGGCCGAAGAGGCCAAAAATGGAACGCACAGAGGCCTCAGGAACATAACAAATTAAAGTTTTAATTTGTGTATATTGTTTAATGGACTTCTAAATTGGCCACACCCACCCAGTCATATGATTACGCCACGCCACACACACACACCAGCCAGTCCATCTCCCAACAGTCTGAGGGGCCGTGAATTGGCCCCCTGTGTAAAATGTTTGAGGATTCCTGGGTTAGGAGGTTACAGCTTTAGTCTGCCAAGATTCAATCTATTACGTTTAAAAAGGCAAAGAACTGGACTCTATTGGATTCTATTGTGTCATCTTTGGACTTGGGCCTGATATTGCATGGAAGAACATTGTCCCAACGAACTGAGGGATTATATATATACATATTTTAATGCTGGCACAGAATCAAACCTTTCCATAAATTGAAAAGTATCAACAGAAGAAAATATTTGTGGCTTAATGTTGAACTGTGGGGTCCTTGGTGCTCCCTGAGCTTGGTTGTTTTCTTGTAAACATTTCATTCTCCAGGGTTACCTAGTTGGATAATGAAACTTCTGAAATAAAACAGCCAAGCTCAGGGAGCCCCAAGAATGCCTCTAAATAGTATATCAAACATGATAGCAAAATTTGGTTTGGAATGAAACTATCAATAACCAGTCTGTGTAAAGTATAACATAGCATTCTTCTGGGCCATTTGGCAGGGTTGGATCTTGGAAAAAATGTTCTGCAATTATTTTAGTTGTTCTATTCCAAAAAGATGCCTTTGACACTTGTTAATTGTTAACCAATGGTATTCTATTGAACTCCACTTTATTCCTATGTTGCATAATGTCTGCATGAAACCATTTAGTTTTTCCAAAAAGCTTTTTCTGAAAGGGATTATATTCTCCCAGCAAAACCAGTTCACAGATTGGGAATGCTCCTGAATTTCAGCTGTCACTTGCAGATTTTTTTTCAATATTAAAACCAGTGTATCAATTGTGATCTTCCTGAGCATATAAAACATATAATTATCATACCTTGATAACAATATATCATAACTACTGAAATATATTTTAGATAGTACAATCCTTGAAAGAAATGTCTGAACATTTCTTGTAGTAGAAAACACAGCAACCAATCTGCTAATCAATACAAAATATAAATATGGTATATTTCTTCTGTGTGGCTTCTAGTCTATGAAATAGGCTCATACTCTTCCTTTATTTAGCAAAAAAAACCACTCTTTTGCCAAATTTTTAATTATAATGTTTTATTTTATTTTATTTTAACTGCAATTATTCTCGCAAGTATAGGAATAGGAGTGGCAAAAGCGGGGGCAGAGTTAAAAAGTATCAGCCTAGAATCTCTAAATAGCCACCAATAAATTAAATCCAACCTTGCTTGAATTCTGTTGACCCTTATCTAACCACAAGCAGATGTTAACCATTAGTTGAAAAGATTCTTGGGTATGATTAACAACAATAAATCAGTTTAATTGGACCTTCATTGTGCATCTGATATTGCATGTCTGACAATAAGCCACTTTAAGGGATAGAATTAAGAAAAGGCATACATTCAAGTATAAACACTAAACAAACAAGGAAGAAACCAAAATTTCCAATTGATTCAGATGTCAGAGAGTATTTGGTGGTAATCTGACTCCGGGAAATGCACTTATTCTGATGAAAGTCTGAAAATTGAAGAATAACATACTCCCCTTTGATTGTGTGGCTAACTACTTCTTCAGTAAAAGAAGTCAGACTCTAACTCATATCAGTGTAATGATACAACACTGCAGAATCACTTTGCATAGTGAGATGGACAGCATATAAATTTAATGTATAAAAATAAAAAAGCTGATCTGCCAGATGCCCATTAGATAAAAGTATGACTTATGTCTTGGTAGTGTAGTTGTCAGGGTTCCTTCCAAGTAACACCCCCAACAAAATCAAAACTCCAAAGCAGGCATTTTCCTCAAAGTTTGAATTTATTAGAGATGTCATACTGGCACATTTGGGAAAACCCGAATCGGAAAACCCCTGGGGATTCCCCACCCAGAGTAAAGTCAAAGTTTCTTCCCCCGCATCAACATGGACATCACATGGTCCAATCATGTCACTTTCCCAACTTTAGTTGGCTCCCAGTCACGCCTCCCCAGGTGCAGGCTAAACATGACTTCCAAGGGAAAAAATGTTGTTATGGCTATACATTTCACACTGTCTCCATCCCCTCCATCCCATTCCCATAGCTTGCCCATCCACCGCGTGTGGCAGCCCTGAAGATACAAATTTTAAAATGGCCTACAGGGCTGACAGTAGTGCTATTCAAATACAGATACTTTAATTAGGTCTATCATACGTTGAGGATACGGGAGTTATGAAGTCTTTTTTTTAGAGATTACCTCACATTTTCAGGAATCTTTCCTGTTTTTAGTTTAGGGCATGAAACTTTTGGCTATGGTAAATTCCCAACCAGAACTATATATGGATGAAAAACCATGTGTGTTCTAAAAAAAGATTATGATGAACAGATTACTTGAATAAGTTAAATAGAAACTGAAGGTTTTTTTTCTTTAAAAAAAATGGAGGATATACCACCATTTTTTCTCTTGTTTTAATATAAAACCAGAGCTTGGCATGGTTTCTATAGCCATGGAAGATAAATGGGAGATCTAAGAGAGAAAGGAATTCATTTGACTATGTTCTGTTACTGATTTTGTATATAACCCTGCATTTTTTATTCAAGATTTTCCTCTCAGTACAACTGATGGATGATGAGGAACTGAGAAAGGAAAGGTCCACACTTCTATCAGTGAATTAGGAAAAAAATTATCCCACTTTTGTTACTATTGTAAAAAGTTGGAACCAGAGTATCAGGAATGTTTTAAATACAGTAAATTAAATGGGTGATAGTTACCTTTATTCGTCCCAACTCAAATTGGAAAATGTTAGGGCTTGTGGCTTGTGCAAATACTGCAGGAAATAATTTAGTACTTGGTTCCACCTAAGTAAAAAAACAAATAGAAATAAAATAGTGTAAGTCAAAATAGATATAAAGATAGTTTGCAGACAAGAACCTAATTTACCTAAGCATTTGCCACAATAAAGTTGTAAATCTTTCACAAGCTACTATCCAAAGCTAAAATTTGGGGAAATTACTATTTTCTTTTCAAATATAATAAATATGTTCTTTTAAAAAATTAATCAAATTTTGTTGGGCAACCTATAACCAAGAAAAAAATCATTACCTGATAATAAGTGCTTAATTCTTTGCCATTGGTAGTGAAGGATAGGATACCAGTTGCAACATCAACCAAGCAACCAATCTCTAATCCATTATTATTGCGTCCTTGCCCTGGACTCATGCTTTCTCCGGCACACACCATATAGCAGTTGCTTCGTTTGATACTGCATTTCAAAAGGTTGATAATAGGTTAATGTTACAAGGCAAGCTCCCAAACTCCATTAGGCTCTGCCATATCTGTGATCTATCCAGTTCTCTTCAATATTAAAACATATTTGCTCACCAATGGAAAATTCCTACTAATACATGTGCAGAGCATTTCCAAGCAGAGAGAATATAAAGCATGTATAGTTTTCTAAGAGTACTACAGGTATTAGATATTCTACATGATGACAGTTATAAAGTGTTTTTCTTTAAATCCGCTAGTACTCTTATGGGACAATTGATAATACAGTTATTAATAAATACTGTGAGGAATCAAGCAAATAAATATATACAGGTAAAACTGTATAAAGGCAAGACTTATTTTATTGCAATTATATCAATGACAATGAATGCTTAACTCACATATATTACACTAGGACAGTGATAGCTAAGCTTTTTCTAAAGGTGTGTCAAAACTCTGTGTGTGCGTGCTATCGCATGCATGCACGTGCCCACCCACATGCGCAGGTGCAAGAGACCCCCCCACCTGCTCATGGGTGAGCAATCCCTGACCCCCATGCATGCATGAGCGACCACCGGGGGGGGGGGGAGATTTTCACCCTCCCCAGGTTCTGGAGGCTTTCCTGGAGCCTGGGGAAGGTGAAAAAAAACCCAATGGTTTGCCCGTTTGAAAAGTTTCATTCCGGAACCAACATCCGGTTTGCCCATTGGGCTGTTCTTCACCCTTCCCAGGCTTCAGGAAAGCCTCCTTAGCTTGAGGAGGGCAAAAAACAGGCCCAATGGGACAAATGGAAGTTTGTTATCGATCTTCTAGTTGGGTCGTTGGGCCTGTTTTTCGCCTTCTCTAGGCCTGGAGCAAAAACAGCCTCCCCGGCCCTTCAGAAGGCCAAAAATCAGCTGGCCGGTGTGTGCATGTACGCCAGAGCTGAGGGCTGCTGAGGGTTGTCATGCCAGCAAATATGGTTCCATGTGCCACCTGTGGCCATAGTTTCGCCATCATGGCATTAGGACTTCACAGAGATCTAGCTCTATGTTGCACATAATGACTTTTTCGATCAATTATTTAAAACTTTAGATATCAGAAAATTATACATTAATGAATAAATTTATTAAGCAAAAATAAATATCTAAGAGAGTGCTCCTTCCTTTGCCTTCCCATTTAAGTGGCTTGTATTAATGTAGAATTCCTTCTCAAATAAGAACTAGAACACTCTATTTTAATGTCAGTTAAAAATGAGGATGCAAGAATGACTGTTAACTAATAAAACTCAGAATTCCCTAGATGACATAAAATGAAGAGCTCTAATTTAATAAAATCTAAAAAAATAATGAGATGCCCACTAGAATAAGAGGGAGAGGCAAAGGAAAGAATTCTTATCCAATGCTCAATCCATTCTTGATGAAGCTAGAAAAAATGGCTAGATAAGGTTTTTTTTTTCATAAATCGCTCTGGCATATTTAGATTTACATTTAATTTTAAAAATAAACAATAGAAGAATAAGCATACTTAATGATAATTACAATTCAAATTTAAGTTGCATATCTTTCTCCAGAGACCATCGCTCCTAGACTTTAAAAAACCACCTAGTAGGGCTGTATTACTATATTACTATTAACATTCTCATCTTTCCTATTGCCTATTTCCTTAGCTTCTTATGATTATTACTTTGTTGTTTGTACCTTATTAATTATATTGATTGCTTTTATTTAGTATCCTATTATGATTTATGCTGATTGCTCATTTAGTATTCTATTACTATCACTGAGTGTTGTATCTTATGATTTATGATGTATTTATGATGTATTTTATGATTATGATTATGATTTATCACTTTTTGCACTTATGTACATAGCTTATGCTCTGGAGACAAATTCCTTATATGTCCAATCACACTTGGCCAATAAAGAATTCTATAAATAGAAGGGAGGATGGAGAGAGCCATTGTGGCCTATACTGAAATGCACACTACCCTCTCATTTGAGAGTGCTATGATTGGGATATCATGCTACTATGACTAGTCACAAAGAGATGTATTTATTAATCGTGCTAGAACAGGATAGAGTTATAACCTCCAGGGAATTAGCACTTAAATACATTTCTATACAGAGACTAAAATATAGCTTTTGGATTCCATATTTAAAATTCATTAAATTTGATAATTGTATTTTGCTCACACTTAGGTGTGGATTGCAAAATAAATATAAATCTTCATTCCAATGAAGGCCATTAATACAATATTGAATTTCAGGATTTTATAATCGTATTGTAACAGAAAGAAAACTTCATTTTTAAAAATGGAGTACCTATCAAATGAAATATAGCATCATGTAATATTCATGTTACTATAAATAATAAATAATATGCAATATATCAATCTTAATAAATGTTACAGTTTTAACTGGAAAATTTCACTGACACGATAGAATGATTTGATAACAATTGTTTTGAAACAAAAGAAAAATAAAGCCAACCTCTCATGAACTTTCCCTTTTTCATCTCCTAAGGTTACTGTAACAGTACGGACTCTGTCCAAATCAAAGTTTGTGTCATATTGATGGAAATCAGATGTAATCCAGCCTACCCAAACATTAGCAGGTTCTTGTCCAGGAAATATACGAACAGAATAATAATACTGTCAAGACATAAAAATATTACCCACACTATTAATATTTCACTTTGATCCAGTACTATCCTGAATTATCCTTTTCTGAAAAATCCATGTTGTTCTGAAAATAACACCAAACCCAGAAGCTTAAGTAATTGCTAGAAGCAAGAATAAAATCTCTAGGACCATGTAAGAGTCAGAGTCTTATCATCAATAGGTTTCTCCCCTATTAATTTAGAGAAAGTTTTGCTTTCTCATATAATAGGATATATGTACAAATGCTTAAATTTCACTTTATGAGTTGCTTTATGAGGGCAATTGGCAGTTTCTAAATATTATGATAATTAATTAATTAATTAATCAATTAATTAACAAACAAAAAAACAAATGGTTTTTTTTTCTGGCTTGCTCTTTATTGTTACTTGAACAAGCATATTAGTTATTTGCTTTGAAAACAGTTAAATATTGAGACCAACCAAAAATCCAAATTTTTCAGGACAGATTACAATGGGTTCTTATGCTAAGTGCAATCATTTGCTAACTTGTTCTTAAGCTAAGTTGTTGGAGCTAAATTTCTACTCCATCTTTGATAACTGCATTTATTTTCATTTACTTTCAATTGATTATTCTATTACATCATCATTTTATATGTTTCTAATTTTTTGTCTCCTTTTAAATTCAGAATCAGAACTAGAAATATTGGAAAGAATCTCATACTTGCAATGTTTTTCTACTGATCCATGAATATTTCTGAAGGGAAATATTTTGGGATTTCCCTACATCAGAAAAAAATAAAAATGAAAAAATAACTACTAATGCCTTATTTTTTTTACCTTTCTTTCCCTAAATACATTTTTTATTTTCCTCTCCCACCTTGTATTAATCAATACAAGTAGTCCTTGACTTACAACCATTCCTTTAATGTCTGTTCAACAGCACTGAACAAAATGACTTCTGACCAGTTCTCACACATGGGTGTTGCAGCAACCCCAGTTATGTTATCAGACTTTGGGTGCTTAGCAACTGGCATGTACCATAGTTACAATGACTGAAGGTGTCCCAGGGTACTGGGATTATCATTTGCAACCTTCTTAAGGAGTTTTTGACAATCAAAGTCAATAAGGGAACCCAGATTCGCTTAATGACTGTATGATTAACAACCATTGGAAAAAGGTGGTACAACGAGGCATAACTCACTTAACTGTTGCCTTGTTTAGCAACAGAAATTTTGTGCTTGACTGTGGACATAAATTGAGGATTATTTGTACTCAAACTTTTCTGATGTACAGTAAATGCGGCTCTGTCAGTTTCATACTAATTTCTTGAATTCCTTCTTTATTTCATGGAAGCAATGTACTTACAACACAAAGCTTTGCGTGTCAACTCCAGGAGTCCTACTCTGTCATCAATTTTCAGTGAGGAATCAATGTATTGAGACAATGTGAATTTTCCTAGAGATACAGCTTTAGCTATATCAGCTTTCCTACTTGCTTCATCCAAACAAAATCAACCGATTCTGTAAGGTCCAAACTCACCAAGACAGCTTTCATGCCTCAGATGGGACTAAACTCAGAGTCTCTTGGTTCTAGGTCAACATCTTAATTACTACACCAAACTGGCTTGGTAATTTGTTGCTATTATTATTGTATTATTGTATCCCATTATATTGTATTATTTTTGTTTTAAAATAAACTCTTTAACTTAAAACATAAAAAATTAATAATTTGTCCAGTCTTGTTATTTTGCTAATCTATTTCATATGGCAATTATAATTAGCGGCACATAGAGAGAAACAAGACTAATTTAGGGAGCAGAAGAGAAGATGCAAAGTTAAATAGCCATTAAGTCAAGGCTCAGAACAAATGGCACCACTGAACACATTCTACCTCTATTTCTCCATCTCACACCATCCATGCATAAGAGCGATGGAAAACCAAGTTTCTTTTGAAATTAGCATTTCCGATGAAAATTTATTCTCATGAAATGTTAGTTTAAGCTTGCAACTTAACAGCAATTCTTTATGACAATTCCAATCATTTCTGCTCCATAGAGATATACAGGTAATATATAATATCCAATCATATTTGATAATTTTAATCTATCATTAGTGGAAATATTAACACTAAATTGCCATACTGTAGAGGTTTGCATTAGATAATCATAATCATCTCGTTCATCTGCTAGGACATCTTCAGTTAGTCTTGCAGAATGGCTTGTGCTGTAGTCTGGCTTCGTCCTTTTCAGCATAAATCTGCGATATATATAAAAATGAAAAAGAGTGAATACATCTTTTTTATATCAGTTGATTCAGAATAATCCTGTATCTTCCATTGAATAAAGCTGAATTTGAAGGTATAGAAATATTCACTCAATTCAATTTGGCCCTTTGGTCAAAATGTGTAAAGTTGTTAATACCAGCTAATGCATTTCAGGGCCAGATTTATAATTGTTACACTAAATATTTTATAGAAACTTGTCCATGTTTTCATTTATATTTCATGAATACGGAAGCTGGAACATAGAGAAAGCAAATATTTAAAGACAGAAATTGCTGTCCTTTTTTATTCAGGAGACATCACAATGAAATTCATTGACAATATGGCAAGAAAAACATTTATTTGTATCCTTGAAAGTGAACAGTGTGTTCACCTGAAGAGATCAAACTATCTGACCTTTGCTTGAGGCGTGAAGGTTTCTCTTGTGTATAATCTTTATGGTTATTGAACTCTGATTTTGCAGCTTCTTTTTCTACACGATCAGGTACAAGATGACCATGAGCAGTCTTCATAAGAACTTCAAAATCAGAATCTGCATCATAATCATCCAAATCACTCTTTGGGCCAAAAAGATTAGAAGTTGGCATTCCTCCTCCCGGCATTTTAGAAAACACTTCTGCACATTCAATGGGCATGCTTAGGCGATAAAACATGATATCTGTTTTGCTATTTTGAGATCCAAAGGACGTCTGTGTGACTTTCAAGCATGGAGAAGTATCAGCAGTTCCATCAATCCTTGTAACCTATGAAATGCAAAAACTCAATTGTAAAATGTATGGAAACATAAAACAAAATGTTGTCTTTACTTATGCTTAATGGTTTCTCATAGTATATCAATAAATATATGTTTATTCTTGCCCTCTGTAATATTGTGGCAAGTGTGATGAAATGTAGGTTTGACTCAGAGAAGGAGCAGAGAATGAAGCACCATTACAGAAAAGATATCTGAGTTCTACAAAACTAGTAAATGTGAAAAAGAGCCTGATATTAGATTAATACACAACTCTGTTTTAATTACATTAGATACAGGTTAGTAGCAGGCTTTCACAAGCTTTCAAGATTCTCTTTTAATTTGCTGATTGCATCAAAGTACATTCTAAGACCCTTATTGATTCCTGTTTCTGACCTTGCCTATCTTGAAGCAAGATAGAATAATTACTTACTAAAACATTTCCTCTAGAGCAGTGGTTCCCAAACTTGTTTTGGCCATGTCCCACCTAAGCATCTTTAAAACCTGATGCCCCCCCCCCCTTGTGACATATAATTCTTACTTTAGTCAAAAAGTGAACTCTACTCACGTGGAGGAAGCCTAAAAGGCCATTAAACAAGGTTCAAATTGCCCCCATTAAAAAATCAAATTGCTTCCTTGTGGGGCATGGGCCCCACTTTGGGAACCACTGCTCTAGAGCATAAGAGGCATGATTTCATCCTATTGCTTTTAATATTTTTATTAACGTAATATTGGACTGTGAAAGACAACACAAGTTTTGTTATAAAAATATACATGTGGATTAAGAATTATTATGGATACAAATAAAACCCCAGCATTTTCCCTTTGGTTTTGTAAGTCTTTGGGCTTACAAATAAGAAATATGCTAGTTTATCTCTTTAATTTGACATTCTACATTTTAAGGTAAATATGTAGAAAGGATAATATAGTATTATTATTATTATTATAAAATAATAATAATGAATCATTCCACACTTATTTGACAGCCTTACCAGTGGTAGATTCTTACTGGTTCAACTGGTAGTGGTTTGGCGGCCTGGGTCGCTGGAACCAGCAGCAATGCAGGCCTACCATGCCCCTGAATCAGTCTTCCGGGCAGCGCCATAGGCACCATCATCCTTTTTTTTTGCTTCTGCGCATGTGCAGAGCAATTTTATTGCATTGTGTATCATGAATGCACTGCGTATCATGCGTGGCCATAAGCAAAGTTGCAGTAGGGACTGCCAGAACCCACCCCTGAGCCTTACTATATATACTCTACATACTATATTAACTTCTACTACTTACTATGTTCGGTTTCTAAAATAAATTAAAGATTCAAACCTCGATATGTTCATGATTTGTTGGTACTGGAAGAAACTGAGGTAATCTCTTGCTCAGCCATATAGTAATGTCACGATTTGTATTCACAGCAAAAGGTTCATAGCCTTCTTGTAAGCCACAAATAGTGAAATATTTCAAAGTGTTAACATCTTTGCCAAAGTTCATTCTGCCCACCTGTGACAATCCCAGGCTACAGGCAGGTATAAAGCCTGCAAAAAAGACATACATGATATGTAAATGATAAATATTAACAACTGTTCTTATGCTTTTTCCTTATAAACTAGACAACTCCAATCAAGTCTTTAAAACATACAATATATTCCATCTATGTGAATAAGAAAATATGTAGTTTGTTAAGGTACTATTGAGAGTACAGAGGATAAATAAGTGGAAGATGGAAACAACAGTATTGTTAGAGTCCACTACCAATTATTCAACTAAAATTTCCTCATAGCTAGAGCAATTCAGTATTAAAATCAATTACCTACAATATGTGAGCCCTTCATTAGTTCAGACTGGCTTGGGCAAACATCTATTACATATTATTTAATTTGGAATCCTGCAATGAGCAGGCATTCAACTTTGATGGTCCAAATGGTCTCTTCTAATTCTGTTTCTTTAATCTACACTTAGAAATATTAAAAAAGTGTCACTACACTCATTCATTCTCTAGCTGCACAAGTAATTGTTCAGCAGCCCAAGCTATTCCAAATCCGTTCAGACACTAGATATTATCTATAGAGTAAAATCTAATGGATTTATCTATTGCCCTGGGCAGATTTACTATGGAAGAAAGAGGTCAGCTGCCTGCCATGATGATATATACTTAAATCAGATATAGGCAATGTCTGATAGGTCAATGACCATAATTCAGCCTCTTGACCTTCTGAAGGACCACAGTACATTGGTGATATGTTATGACATACTTAGATGTGTGGTGTACTCTCTTTTCTGGACAAATTTAAGGTGGAAATAGTTAAGAATTGTAACTACTGGAGGTCCAAAGACAGATTGACTGCATTTGTATACTTAAAACCATCCCAAACTAGCAGTCATTGTTGCAACAAAATCCAGCCACTTTGCTACCATATTTCAATACCATAATCCCAGACTGCTGATGGCTCACACACAGAATTCTTGAGATAAATCTTGCTTTGAGCCATAATCTTTGGCTGAAATAAACTAATGGCTGGTTTTAAAAACTTCTCTAAGACAGCAAAGAAAACTTACTGAGTCAGCCAGAAAGCAGCACAAATTTGCTCAAGAACTTACCATCACCAACCTCAAAATCTTTAAATGCAAGTTCAGAACCTGAGTCATCAAGAAGGATTTCACCATTTAGCGTAAACATCATAGTGTGCTCATTCAGATCCACCATGCATCCCACAATATCTGCTGTTAACCAAGTACGGCCAAAATGCTCATTTCCTTGGTGCCATCGTTGGGCCTAGATAATCAAAGACTTTATGCAACATAAACTATTATTTTTATGATTTTAGCATTGTTTAAAAATGTTTAGCTCAATAAGAAAATATCAGTTATAAATCTTACAATTAATTATATAACAATAATTTTTAAAATACATCAACTGTTCCACATGTTTCTAGAGAATTAGCAACATTCAATATTTTTGGAAAATAATTTATGAGCACATTATACATTATTCTCAATAATCTTACTGTTACTCCTTTTAAAGAGAAAATGGAGATCTCCATTATTTTTGAAGAAGCAAATCCCTCTTCCCAAGATATATGACAATTGTGGTAGTGGACTCCTGTATGCCCTGGGGCTTGAACTAGATCATCTGTAAGGTGCCTTCCAACCTTTACATTCACCATATTGCAGATCCAAAAAATCTCATAACATAGCTATGTTATGTTTTAACATACAAATTACTATCAACTTGTAATTCAACAAACAATTCACTTAGTAAGTAAGACCACACTTTATGGTAGAGAACGTAAGGGCAGAAATGCTTACTTTTGTTCTCTTTTTCCTATATCAAAGATCAATTTGAAATAAATGACATGAAGGTTCAGAAAACCTAATGTTAGAATTCACAACGTGTTTATCCCCCACTAATTAAGTTTTATATATGATCTACGGGAGGGCAATAGCGCTAGTCTTCAATTTACTACAACTGAGTCCAAATTTTATGTTGTTAACTGAGAAATTTGTTACATGAATTTTCCCTCATTTTATGACTTTTATGCCACATTTGTTAAGGGACTCACTGCAGTTGTTAAATTAGTAACCCAGTTGTTAAGTGAATCTGGTTTCCCTATTGACTTTGCTTGTCAAAAGGTTTCAAAAGGTGACCACTTGATCCCGGGACACTGCAACAATCCTAAATGTAAGTTAGTTTTCAAGCATCCGAATGTAAATCACATGACTATGGGGATGCTGCAATGGTCATATGCATGAAAAATGGTTACAAGTCACTGTTTTCAGTGCCGTTGTAACTTCTAGTAAGTAACAGCTGCTAAATGAACTATTCAAAGTCAAGAACTACTTGTAACTCAGATGTAGATCTGTATCTAACCCTCTAAGTCTCAATTCAATTCTTTGATTGATAGGTTCTGAAGGTCTATGGAAAAAATAAGAGAGACACTGCAAGGCCTATTTTTTTGTCCTGTCACAAAAAAATGTACATACCTTGAAACCATCAAATACAAATGCTTGATCATCTGAGCCAAGCTCTTGCTCTGGCTGACAACCTGGCCTGGCCCAGCCAATTCTCATATCTCCAGCAGTTATTGCTTCAAATTCAAAGTACCACTTCCCAGTTTTTACAGCATATGTTTTTTCTGTTCGGAATATCCTGAACCTTTCCATCATACTGTCAAACACCTCAGGCCTTGCAGCTGCAAAAGTTCAAAATTTAAGGATATATATTTTTATATAAAAATTAAATCATAGTATCTAAATTTTTAAAAGTTAGGGATGATTATGATACTAATAAAGGAGAATATTCGTAGCTCAAGGTTGAAATGAGGGTCTTTGGTGCTCTCTGAGCTTGCTTGTTTTCTTGCAGTTTTCTTCCCAAACTAGGGAACATTATCAGGGCTGATTTGAAAAGTTTTGGAAAAGTTAGGATCTCTTTTATCAGACTGGCAGTCTAAAGGAAAGGCAAGAAAACATATTTTATTTTCTCAACTATTCTCCAAGACTTAGCAAAGTTTTTAAAAAGAAAAGGAGAACCTTTTTACAAAGTACTTAAGTCCAAAGTTTGCAAAAAGAAGGGGGAAAGGTCAAATCATGGACAAAAGAACTGCACTTACTACCCTCTTTTGAAATGGATTGAAACTTTAGCAGATTTGACATTATTTTCCTAGTAGCCACTCACAAGTACAATCCAAGTGTGTTAGAATGAGACAAACTTTCTTTTGTTGATGAAATGCTTACTACATGTAAACATCCATTCTAGATTATACCAGTGTTAATTACTTTCCAAGGAAGGGGACTTCAAAAGGAATGCTCAAGGAACTGAACTGAAGGAACATCTTGCCTTCAGAAGTTGTGGGTGCTTCATCATTGGAGGTTTATAAGAAGAGACTGGGCAGCCACTTGTCTCAAATTGTATAGGGTCTCATGCTTGAGCCGGAGTTGGACTAGAAGCCCTCCAAGGTCCCTTCCAGCTCTGTTCTAATTTATTGATTGAACTATTTTTACAGAGCGTTTGTGTGGAAGGAGTTTCCTTTAGATATAAAGTTATGTGAGTATGGGTATGTTGTATTTTAAAAATATATTTCCAGTGAGTTTTTTGTCAGTTTTATTATAATTGTTATTCTGTTTGGCATTATTTTAAAATTGTTTATGTTCTGTTTGAATAAAAAAAAATCAAATAATTAGAAATATAAAAATAAATATGAATTTATTTTGGAAAGTTGAAGTAAAATTAAAAATGGAACATTCTTACCTTCCTTGAATTAATAGCATATACAACAATATATTTAAAAAGCCTGTTTCAATATAATTTCAGTACCATGGTCTTGATCTGGAGCTTCAAGGTTATATCCATAATTGATGAGGGTACGGACTGCTTCTCGGAGGCTATCTTTGTTTGATTTCTTAGTGCGATCATCTAAAAGTGTATAGGGGACAAGGCGAGGATTTCGACGGTTCTTCACATCCTGTACAATATAAAAATTATGAGAGATAATTTAAAGGACTCTAACACCCAGTTTTTCTAATACTGTAAATACCGTAGATCTGCACTAACTTGGAAGGAAGAATCAAGTAGGTTCCCAAGGCTATTCAACACATTTAGGAACAGATAAAAATAGAGCTTATCAAATATTCCTAATAGGAGGATTGACCAATACTTTAAATAAAAACTCAATTTAAAACAAACTCAACAAGTGTGAATATTAAATTAAATTCTACAAAATGTTCAGCTATTTGTGTGTGTACAAGCACTACTTTGTATGTATCCAACTATTCAACTTTTTATAGTGTTAATTAACTACTACCAGTTATTAACTAGTAAAACAACCCCCTACAGACTCGCTAGGGCACTGTGGGTATTTTAGTAGCTAATAAATGGAACTGTTAGTGAGCTTACTGCAATTATGTTAGTAAGCTTACTATAATGCACAATGACATGGTTATACTATACAGTATCAATTTTTGCTTGATATCAGAAACATAATTGTGATGACACAATAGGGAAGGAGACTTGTTTCCCTCAATTTGTCAATATATCTCCTCTTTTAAAAGGTTTAGTTCTGAAAACGTATCAATTAACTTGAAGTCAAAAAAGTAAAACTCCAAAATATTTTATCTATTTCACCATTGTCAGGATTTGGTTCTATAATAGGATTACTATAAAGATTCTAGTTATGTCTGGACTTACCTGCTGAATTCCATATGTCCATCCCTGCCTTACACGATCTCTAGCCCATACATTGTGAGCATTCTCTGCGAGTTTATCAACCATGGATTCCTGAGATGGAGTCAACTTGATGCAACTTAGATCCATAGGAGCAGGTTTATAACCGCTTAATAATAGATAACTGTTAAAAAAATTTAAAAAACTTTAATGAAGTCTTATGAATTTTTATGAATATAAAAAACATAAATCTTTATCTTTGCATTGTTTTGGCATTAAATGTTATTAGATTCAGATCATTCATTTCCTTATACTGGAATTAGTAATCTGTACAATAATTTAGGAATCAAAATCCAAATTCCAAAATTTATAGGCCTTAAAAATGAAATTATATGTAAATTAAAATGTTTTCATACACACACGTGGATGGGTGGATGAATGGATAGATAGATAGATAGATAGATAGATAGATAGATAGATAGATAGATAGATAGATAGATAGATAGATAGATAGATGATAGATAGATAGA